ACAATTGCCGACATCATTATGGACGACCTTCTGGACAACACCATCTCGAAGCTGAAACAACACTTCAACATTGACATCAAGTTTATCAACAAATATGTAGACGATATTTTTGCAATAACAAACCGCAACGACGTGTATACAATTCTAGAGACGCTAAACAAATACCACCCAAAACTTCAGTTTACCATGGAAATGGAAGAAAACGCGAGCATACCTTTCCTTGATGTCCGTATACACAAAAACAACAACAATATTGTTCTAAACTGGTACTCGAAACCAACGTCGTCTGGACGCCTGATCAATTATCTCCCCTCCAAACCAAGAAAATATAAAATCAACACCGCGAAAAATCTTATACACAAAATACTGACGATAAGCGACCAAAAATTTCACGAAGCCAACATAGAGAAAATACACAGCATTTTGAAAAGCAACAATTATCCCAATCACCTGATACGCGAACTAATAAAACAAGAAACAATGCGAATAGGAAATCAGCAAAATAAAACGCCGACCACAGCAACAGCAAATACACCAAAGAAGTACTACAGCGTCACTTACATCCCCAAGCTAAGCGAAAACTTTGATCACAGCACATTAAAGGAACAAAACATAACTCTCGCCTACAAAACAAATAACACGTTAGCTGGAATCTACACAAGAACAAAAAGCCCACTAGACATACAGCAACAAAACAACGTTGTTTATGAAATAAAATGTAAGGGCAAAGAGAACGAAAACTGTGGTAAAGTGTACATAGGGACAACAAAACGCGCATTAGGTGTTCGCATAGCCGAACATCAAACAGATATAAGGAAACAAAAACACAGCACAGCCCTATCACAGCACATATTAAACAGCGGCCACACAGCTGATTTCACTAACACTACGATTATTGACAAGGAAAAGAGGGAAATGACGAGATACACTTTGGAAAGCTTAAGAATATTAGAAAAAAGGGAGAATACGATCAACAAAAAAAAAAAGAAGATACGGACAACATCGCGGCCGCCTACATGTTATGCATATCAAAATAAACAATTTAGTAATGACAAGACTACCATAGAGAGTGGTACTGATTATGTGTATATGTATTAATATTAAGTTTAAAACAAATGTTTAATATTATTGTGAGTATATGTTCTTTGTATTAGTCCATAATTGTTGTCTTTGTTGTTGCAAACACATGTATGCCAACTTTTATTATTCATTTTAACATCTTTCGTTTTTTCCTTGTATTTCTTTGTTGGATTTAATAAACATAGTGGCCCCTGATGATGCTTGAAAATTTCAGCGAAACGTTGGGCAACGAAGGTGGAATAAGTGTTTTATTTGCACCATTAAATAATAGATCACACCAGCCTACAAGTGTACCAAAAATATATTCTACAAAGTGGTCGCTACAAAAACCAAAAAACTTTAAAAAAGTTTACTATACTCCCACAGTTAATTCTACCAAGCACGTGTTCTTCTGTCTTGTAGCGATTGTAGTCCAAGAGGCTTGCGTCTACTTATGTAGGGCGGATAGTTTGCAAACCCGAACATTTTAGAAAGAGCAAATTTAGTAAACACTTTTTGTACTCTTTCAACTTTCTTTGTACTGATTTCTTAAAAACGATTCCACACTAGAGAACAGTGCTCCAAATGGCTTCTAACTAGAGAAGTATACAAACATTTTAGAGGTAGAGGGTATCTAAAATCCGTGGTGTTCCCTTTTATAAAGCCAATCATCCAAAAGCTTTTGAAACTATAAGATCGACATGCTTGGCAAAGGTAAGCTTACTGTCAAATATGACTCCAAGATTTTTTATTTCTGTAGTACGGGTTATAGTTACGGTGACCATCCGTCCTGCCTTTGTCCCACATTTTCTTTGATATTTTAAAATTAACTTTTCCTAATCGAAATAAAAGCAATGTCGATAACTAATTGATAACTACATATGGATAGGCTGGTTTTGAAGGTTCAGGTAGTCAATGAGCTCTAAATATTGTACGGTTATGGACAATGGATGACGAGAAATTGAAGACCAGCATCAAATATATCGATAACACTGTTCTACAAATTTTGTGGTAATCGCTTAAGAAAAAAAATATTTCCCAAGCCAATTTTCTTTTCAAACAAGCGTTTTCGTAATTTTTTCGAAAAACGTGTTTTTGGTACATTTCGGACCTATGCGTCAATATCTCATGAAAAAATTATCCAATCAACATAAGCGACCTATAGTCCTCTTACAAAAATATATTACATTGCCGATTTCGATGAAAGTTATAAGTGTTACAAGCGACCAAAATCGAAAAATTGAAATTTCAATCATTTTCTTTTTAAAGTAAATGAAAATCTGATGAGAAATTTAGATGTTACGGAACACAATCTGCACAAAAAATATATATTATTGCAAAGAGCCCATCAATACCTTTCGAACTATTGGTCGTTTCATGAGATATTGAGGAATAACTGAAAAAGTACTAAAAATACGTTTTTCGAACAAATCTCGAAAACACTTCGTTGAAACCATGGGTATTTTTTCGTATTCAACGACCCAAAGTTTGCCTAAAAGATTTGCTTTACAGAGGTTCATATTTCGTGTTAAGTAATATGTAATATGCCTTATTATAATTTTGTAAATATGCATTACTAAAAGATTAATACCAATGAAGCAAATGTGATTTATGTTAAAAGTTTAAAATTGGATTAATAATTAAGAAATATACACTCTTCGTTATTTGAATAGCGCATCCTTTTAATACTTAGTAGATACAGTTTTCCTTTTGTTTGTTTAATATTTATTAACTTTTTGTAAAAATATAGCATGTTCTACGTCTACATCCCATTTAAAAAATTTTTGAAAATTAAAAAAAAATAAACATAGAGGCGACAATTTTTTTTGTTGACGGTGCATTTTCTTCCATATACAAATTTTGTCAAGCATACTTTGTATGGTAGAAAATCAAAGAAAGGGTGCGCTATTCAAATGACGAGGAATGTATATATGTAGTATATTTTTGTTATTTTTATACTACGCAATTATATGTAGGTCAATTTTTTTTAAAATTGTCCTGCATTTTCAAAATATATTTATGGGCACCGTAGTTATAGTTAAACTACTTAGGGAATAACTAAACTCCAAACTGGCGGCTCGTTTTGTATAAGATACTACATAACATTTGCTAATGTTTAATTTTAAATTATTAAAAGAACACCATCTTTGAAACGAATCAACATCATCCTGCAACTTAAGGCAGTCCGATATATTGTTGATTTTTAATAACAATTTTACATCGTCAGTGAACATATGATATTTCGCATGATGTAAATAGTGAGGTAAGTCATTAATAAAAATTAAAAACAGCAATGTGCCGCAATGTGTCCCTTGGGGAATACCCGACCACGCTTTAACGAATGAAGTCGATTTTTTTGAGTCAATCTTCACAAACAGCTTCCTACCTTTAAGAAAACTGAAGAAGAAATCGAGTAAATAACCTCTTATTCCGTACATATTTAATTTATGCAAAAGAATAGAGTGATCAACCTCATCAAAAGCTTTGGAGAAATCGGTGTAGATAACATCCAGCTGCGATTTATCTTCAAAAGAGTTTACTATTTCCTTTGTTAATAATAAAAGATTAGTGCATGTAGATCGCCCAGAACAAAATCCATGTTGGCCCTCATTTATTAATGTATTTACATGATTGAATAGCTTTGCGTTGATAATATTATCAAAAATTTTTGCAATCGTGCTTTGTTTTACAATTGGCCTATAATTCGTAACATCATTTCGATCACCTGATTTAAATATCGGAGTAATGGAACACACTTTCCAAGCATCCAGAAATTTGCCTTTTCGGATGCACAAGCTAAAAATCGAAGCAATAGGTCCGGCGATAACTTCACACAACTTTTTAAAAAATATTGGGGCAATACCGTCGATATCTGCCTTAGTATTGGATTTTAAATAAGAAATTACTAGCTTCACATCATCTTCAGATATGTCGAAAGAGAATTATATGTATTGTTATGTGAATCGTTGTATTTCTAATGTCTGCTGGAAAAATTTACTAAAGAGGTCACAAGCTTCAAGCGGACTATGAGATTCACTCCCATCGTAGTGAAGGACAGTTGGAAATCCATTTGTTTTCCGCTAACTAAAATGCCAAAAGCTTGCAGGATTTCGTTTCAATTCTGATTCTTTTTTAAAAATATATTGCTTTTAAAGATAACTGTGTAGGCAATCAAAGCTTTTACGAATTTGAGAGAATGATAACACTGGTCTACAAATTTCAACTTTTTTTCTGCGAATAAGA